AACGAAGGAAAGCTCGGCCAGCCCGCCAAGGGGGAACCCCCCGACTCCGACCCCCCACCACCGCGGCCCTCGTAGTCGCATCGACGGCCGCCGCCCTCACACCCGCCGCCGCAGCCGCCGCCCTAGTCGCCACCCTAGCCGCCGCCCGCCTTCCCCGCTGCGTCTTCCGCGCAGCACAGACCCGATGCCCCGCCCTCTCCACACCCTCTAGCACTTACGCAGGGAGCGGCTCGGGACTCTGCCCCGCGACGGCCTTCGAAGTCGCGCCTTCCCCCGCCTCGGGCAGGCGCGTGACGGCGGCCAACCCCAAGGAGCCCGTGTGCGAGTGCACAAAGGAGAGCGCCACGTTCAGCGAGGCATGGAAGGCCAAGGCGCCGGCCGCGCCGTCGGAAGCGCCTCCCACTTTTGTTCTGGCGGGCGCGTCTCCCACATGGCGCGTCTCCCACATGCGTCTGTAGGTTGTGGCCGATACGGGCGATCACTACCTCCAGCCGCCCGCCCCGCCCCCGGGGGCGCTTGCCGGCCAACCCACGTGGTTCCACGCCAAGCCGACGCGCTCAAAGCTGAGCATCCCTGGAGTGGCGCACTGACCGCCGCACGAGAGAAGCGTCACTAAGAGGGGAGGAGAGAAAGCAGCCGCAAAACGCCGTGTGCGGTAAGCACGTGACCACGTTTGTGCGGGGCAGTGTTTGCTTAGAGGCAGGTAGGTAGGTAGAAAGGTGAAGAACAGCCAGGCTCGGACTGGACACCAACAAGAGGCACAAAACGATCACAAAACACATAAAAAGAATTCTGCGCGTAGGTGAAGCTCCTCTCGGCGACATCAAGTAGGCATGCATGTCGTGCGAGCGTACGAGCGCATGCACCAGCGCATGCTGAGGCAGGCCAACGATAACGATTCACGGTTCGTCGACGACCCCGCGATGGTCATGGGGGTCATGGCATCACAGGGTCAGGATCTGTTCAATATGACAGTCAAAGCAGAGAACGACGTCACCTTCACGACCTTTTGCAGCATCAATCCTATGGAACTCGCCGCCATCGCGAGCCGCGCGAGGATGAGCGGGGGTAGCATGACCGTCGCGAGGAACACAGTGCGCATCGGTCCACTCCGCTTTGAACTCGACGCCGAAGCGTCCTACAAGGAACGGCGCGTCTTCCACGCCGCGCCTTGAACACGGGTTCGCTTTCTCACACCAGCTCCACTGGGCGTACAACTTCCTCAATACGCAGTACGTGTGCTTCGCCAACAACCTCCGGGAAGACGACTCGTTGCCTGCAGCCGACAACATGCACATGCAGAGGGCGGCGGCGGAGGCGCTGCGGAATGCCAATGCGCTGCTGGCGGAGGAGGAGGCGGAGAAGAAGGAGAAGGAGAAGGAGAAGGAGAAGAAGAAGGGCAAGAAGAAGAAGGGGAAGGGTGGCAGAGGAGGCGCTGGGCCGTCTCAAGAGCCCGAGGATGAGGCAGCGCTGGTGGCGGCGGAGGAGGCGGAGTTGGCGGCGGCGCTCAAGGAGAGCGCGAGGCTGGTGGAGAAGAGGGGGGCGCCTGACGAGCAAGCATTGTCCTCTTTGCCTGCAGAGAGGCCGCTATCGGTAGAAGAGGAGGAGCCGCCGGCCGACTTCATCTGCCCGATCACGACCGAGGTCATGAGAAACCCGGTAATGGCGGCGGACGGGCATGCTTACGAGCGGTCGGCGATCGAGCGCTGGCTCGCGACCAAGTCGACGAGCCCGATGACGGGCGAGGAGCTCCAGCACACTTGCCTCGCCGATCATCACATGCTCCGCCGAATGATTCGAGAGTGGGGAGACGCGCTCGGCTCGGCACGATCGTAGTTTAATAAAATGACTTTTAGCTCTTTGCCCGCAATGCACCTAGAGCTACCGTACTAGCCTAGACCTTCCCCCGGGTTCCCAGACCACCCAAACACGTCTAAGACCCCACCGCTGTGTCAAAATAGGGGGTGGGAGTTTGTGTGTGTGTGTGTGTGGGGGGGGGGGGCTGACATCAAGCGTCGTCCTCAACCTTTGAGATGATCAGATACGCTTCACAAACATCTGATTCTGAATTGGGTCTTGTCGGATGCCACTCGACTGAGACCACGTCTCAGTTACGGAATCAACATGCCTGACCAATTCGTCAATTTCTGCAGGCGTGCTGTTGTCTTCCTCTTTGTTGCAGCTGCCTTCTCGAGTGTCACTCCTCCCATCGTCATCGACACTGCTGCTCTCATCGTCATCGGGGCTGCTATCTTCGTCGCGGTCTTCGACTGCCATCTGCCTCGACCATGCTTGCCCTTGCATGGCTACCTTTTCTTCTAAGTCACTTAAGTAAAAAAACGTACGCGCTTGGTACTTCAGTGCCGCCAGCAAAATGCAATCTGTGATGTCGCCGCCTCTCGCATACATTTTGGCTGTTTGCATACACTCTTGCTTGAATACCTGCAATAGGGCAAATGCTGTCACCTCTGTTTCGTTGAAGGAATCAGCTTCGTCGAGATTCCTTGGCTTGCAGAGCGCGCGGTGATCACACACGACTCTCGTTAACGTTATACACCGCGGTCCGCGTTTTCACGTACACACCCACAGAACTCAACTCTTTCCAGATCTCGCGCTGGACGTCGGTCGGGACGCCCAGCATGTCGAGGCTGGCGCTGCACGTTTGCCGGGAGCTGCCCCAACACAATGTAGTCGATAGAATTCACGGCGGCGGGCAATTCTTAAAATACAAACCTCTCTCACAGCACACTGGCACGACAAGGGCGCGGACTGGCGCGGACTGGCACACACACCGGTAGGTAGGTAGGTAGGTAGAAAGGTGAAGAACAGCCAGGCTCGGACTGGACACCAACGCGGTATGGGTGGACGCTAGACAGATGATGACGGCACGCACGAGCGACACACAGACACAAACAGGCTCACAAGACACACAGCCAGCGGGCTGCCACACACCCTGAGTTGGCGTACACATAACTCAAGGCCATATCCTCCCTGTCGCCCCCCCCAGCACTCCACGGTGCCAAGAGAAACAAACAAGGGCACAACGACACAACAGACGACAGGAAGTGACATGCGAGGCTAGAGCAGGCTTGCTCTACCTCCAGCAATCTCTCCGGCCGGCGAGGCACGGACGAGACCGTGTGTGGGGTCTAAGTGAGGTGTCTATGGACGCTCTCCTCACGGGCTAGCTGCCTACGGCTAGCCCTGTCTCGCACTCACAGGCAGTGACAATTCAATGGGTGAGTGTTTGCGAGCAGAGGCGCGTGGGCTAAATCTAGGCCGCACGTCGTGGCACTATGACGAAGTAGACGTGCGGCCGCAGCGCGCCCGCCGCAGGCTCGGCGGTGCGCGCGTGTTAGCGACAAAGTTGCGGGTGGAGCCATGCCCGACTTTTCGAAGGTGAGGCCTCTGCGACGAGTGCCAGCCGCGCTGCGGAGCCACGCCCTTCGAGCCGCGTCCCGTCGGCACTGTCCCCGAGTGGTCCCGCCTTGGCGGCACACACTCTCGACCAGGACAGTCCAGCCTCCGGGAACGTGTCGCGCGCCGGCGACGGTTGCGGCGTGGTGGTTTCGAGTACGACGCGAAGATGGCACGACCACCGCCCTGCATTGCAGACCGGGCAAGGAGGGTCCTGCTCCCGTTCCGCGAGGAACAGGAGGTCTCCCCCCCTCCCCCGGCCTGAGCAGCGGCGGGTGGAAGGCAGCCCCTTGAGTCGAGGGCGGCGCGACCATTGCGCCGACTCAAAGACCAGCTAGCTGGCCCGTTCAGTACAGATGGTCTCGCCGCCCCGCTCCGCCCCGCCCGCCGCCGCGCCGCGCCGCCGCCTCGCGCAGCCGCCGCGCCGCGCCCCGCCCGATGATTAATAATTAAGATTACCCGGAATACGGTACGCAATTAAGGAATTAATAAGTGAATTAATCAATTAAGTGAGCGCCCTCGCGTCACCTATGACTCGACCAGTGTGAAGGTGAAGAGATGTCACGAGCGTGCGTGCAGCTGGCCCGGGGGGGAGAGAGAGAGAGAGAGAGAGAGAGAGAGAGAGAGAGAGAGAGAGAGAGAGAGAGAGAGAGAGAGATAGAGAGAGAGAGAGAGAGAGAGAGAGAGAGAGAGAGAGAGAGAGAGGGAGAGGGAGAGAGAGAGAGAGAGAGAGAGAGAGAGAGAGAGAGAGAGAGAGAGAGAGAGAGAGAGAGAGAGAGAGAGAGAGAGAGCCGAGAGAGAGAGAGAGCAGAGAGAGAGAGAGCAGAGAGAGAGAGATTGAAAATGGCGACAACAGTGCCGAGCAGCAGCAGCAGCACGCCCACGGCCCGAGCCATAGCGAGGAGACGGAACGGCCGAGCCGACAACGGAGGCAGCGAGCAAAAAGGCAGCGCGGCGCGGCTCGCGCGCCGCGTGCGCCAAGCAGCCGAGGCTGCCGAGGAGGCCGAGGAGGCCGAGGAGGCCGAGGAGGCCGAGGAGGCCCCCCCCTCCCCCCCGGCGACTCGAACCGGAAGCCAGTCGACGCACGAACGGAACGCTCGCACATCACCGGATATGTCAACTCGCAGCAGCGAGGCAGCAGCTCATATACAGTGGACTTTACTCAAAGCAGCGCAGAAGCGCTCGCAGAGCGGTGCGCAGCGCCGCGCACGCCACGCCGCGGGCGGTCGGACGAGCGCAGCGTACGTCGGCCGCGAGCCGCGTCGCCAGCCGTCTCGCGAGATAGCGGCGCCACCACGTGCGCGCAGCAGCCGCCGCGGCAGAGACGAGCCGCGGCAACAACGAAGGCGCTCTCACCACCGGAGCCGCAGATAAAGAATTCGTCGGGGGGTTGAAAGCTAGCTCGGCGACATCACGGCGCAGTTCATCTATCCCTTTGATAGCCTCGACATAGCCTCGACGATGCCTGTTCTCAACACCTTCCGCACGGAAAACACGACCGTATTCACGGGTGCGCAGGTCGTTGCGGCACCGCCAAAACAGGAGGCAAAATCCGTCCTCACTGCGGCCAAACCCTTCCTCACCGGCTCGATCGCGGGCTGCTTTTCGACGTGCTGCATTCGTGCGTGCCGCCCAAAAAGCACTCCCACATCCCTCGTGCCGCCCAGAAGCACATTGCCTCGTGTCGCCCAGAAGCGCCCACATTGCCTAACAGGAGCACAACCCACGTCACGCCTCCACCCCTCCGCCCCACGCAGAGCCGATGGACATGATCAAGGTGCGGATTCAGCTGAATGCGGCCTCCGGCGCCGCCGCCTCGCCCGTCGGCATCGCCTCCAAGATGATCGCCGAGGAGGGCGTCGCCTCGCTCTACGCAGGCCTATCTGCTGGGCTCACCCGCCAAGTCGTCTACACCGGCAGCAGGAGCGCTTCACCCGCCCCACCCCCCGCCTCTCCTCCTCCTCCGCCCCACCCCGGCCCTCCCCGCCTCTCCTCTCCTCCTCCTCCGCCCCACCTCCACCTCCCGCCTCTCCTCGCCTCCTCCGCCCCACCCCTCCACCTCCCGCCTCATTCCTCTCCCGCCTCTCCTTTCCTATCCTCCGCCCCACCCTGCCTGCCGCCCCGCCCCGCCCCGCCCCCCCGCCGCCAGGCTCGGCTTGTATGACGTCTTTACCGACAAGGCCAAGGAAGCAAACGGCGGCAAGCCGTTGCCGCTCCACCAGACGGCGCCCGCATCTCCCACATCTCCCCACATCTCCCCACATCTCCCCACATCTCCCCACATCTCCCATGGTCTCCCCGTATCTCCACTAGCGCTGTGCGCCTAGAAATCGGAAGACGTATCTTCTTGTACTCCAGCTGGGTCCCGAGAGGACGCGAACTCCGCCGCACTCGACCGCATCCCGCTGTCTTCATCCCGCTGTCTTCACAGCACTCGTGCCCCTCGTCTCCACGCGGTGCTGTGAGGACAGGCGCTGTGCGCGCTCGCGGCGGGCGGCATCGCTGCGGTGGTGGGCAACCCAGCCGACCTCTCCCTCGTGCGCATGCAGGCGGCGCCCCGTCGCACATTCACACTCACACACACGCACACGCACGCACACACACACACACACACACACACACACACACACACACACACACACACACACACACACACACACACACACACACACACACACACACACACACACACACACACACACACACACTCCTACCTCCCCAGAAATCCCGAGGAGGCGCACAGCGCCTAGATATGTCTTGTGCTGCTGTGTGCTGCACACGCCCTGCGAGCGGGGCGGGGTGCGCACTGACCCTCTGTGTTCGTGTGCGTCGCCCATCTCTCCCTGGAGATGACTGCTCTATTTATTTATTAGCAGAAAAAAAAATCTACCACCTCAGCTCGCACCGCCCGTGCGGACTATAAGAGCTGTAGCTTCACGGCGGCGGCGGCGCTGGCAGCCGCTTCCGAGCGCTCCTGAGCAATCTGTCGCTGGATGCCCTCCGCGCGGCGCTGAATAGTAGGAAAGAACTCCCAAAAGGCCTCGCCGTAGTCTAGCAGCAGCTGCTCGCCCGCCTGCAGCGGCTTGACGTTGTCCAGCAGTATGACGAGCTGCCCGTCGACATAGCACTCGACGACGCGCACGTTCGCCTCGGCAGGCGGGTCGCGGCCTCGGTAGTCGTTGATGAGTGCCGCGCAGTTGCGTTGGGCCGACGCGTCGACGGTCAGCTTCTTGCCCAGATCGCCGTGCGTTGGGTCCATCGTGTAAAGGTGGCCCGTCTCGTTCGCCACGTCTCTGATCACCTCCTCCTCGAACTCGGCCATTGTCTTGACAGTGCCCTTGTAGATGAGCAGCGCGTCGAGCAGCGCGTGCGGATCCAGCTGGCGTGCGGCGAAGGCGCCAAATGCGAGTCCGCTCGCCCCAACGGCCTTTCGCACTGGGTCGTTCGCGTCGCGAATGGCGCACGGCACAATGGCGCTGTCAGCGTCGCCGAGCGCGCCCTGTCCCGCCAGCCATGCGCGAATCCGGGACAACTGCCGATCGATGCGCGCAACCACCTCCTGTGACCACCCCGCCTCGGGCGGCGAAGGCGGCGGCACGCAGAGCGTTTCCTCCTCGCGGCTCTGCTTCACGAGAGGCGCCCGTTTGTTGCAGCGGAGCAGCACCTCGCGCGCAGCCGGCGTGATGTTGTGCCGCAGGCCGAGCCGGTACTGGCACAAGTACTGCAGCAGATCCGCAGTGTGAAGCTGCTCCAGAGGGAGAGGCGCCGCGCCTGCCGCGGGCTCGAGGTCGTGCGGGTGGTCCCTCGAGCCGAGCCGCGCGCGCTTGCGCTGCCCCCCGCTATCGTCGTCGTCGTCGGCAGCCGGCGCGTTGTGCTCCTGGCTGAGCTCTGCCGCTCGGCGCCGCATCTCCGCCTGCAATCGCGCCACCTGCGCCTGCAGCTGCGCAAGCTCCTCCGCGCTCTTCGCTGCGACCGATCGTGTCAATTCGGCGAGCATAGCCGTCGGTGGCGGAAAAGCATATCGAAGCGCCTCCTCGGAAGCCATCGCATGGCCGTCCGCCGCGTCATGTAGGCGACGGAGAAGCGCTCGATGAAGGCGCGGCCCCATCGCCCTATATCTGCTCCTCCGCGCCTCGGAGCTCTCGGCGATGGCAGGCCACAAGAATTCTACCGTGTAGTGCCGAACTTAAGGTAAGGTAGCTTGAGTTAGGTTAGGTGCTTTGCACTGAGTTAGCAGCAGTTCGGCACCGGGGATTTCTTTTTTGGTACCGGCGACGTCTCGGCCCTCGCTGCGCGGACCGTGGTACGACGAGGGTGCGGCGAGTGAGGAGGAGGAGGAGGGGGAGGAGAAGTAGGGCATCTAGTAGCGTAGGCACTCGTACTCGAGCGTAGGTGCTCGTAGCGTAGGAGGGAGATGCCTCAGAGTGGTGCGGGCCGCGTGGCCCGTGTGCCGGTCCGGCTGGACTGAGAGGTGGGTAGCAGGAGTTAGGCACATTAGAACAGGAGTTCGGAAGAGGAAAAAGGGCTCCCTAACTCAAGCTACCTTACCTTAAGTTCGGCACTAGACGGTACCAGCGCCCCTCTCACAGCAGACTGGCTCGGTGGCGGCGTGCCGTCCTCCCATCCCTCCCTTGGGTGCACTTGGAGCACTTGGAGTGCAGTTGGCAGCCTCACATCCAGGGCCGGGGAGCTCAGAAGCGCACCCAGCGGGCCGGATGATCGGGATCGGGTTGCGGGCAAGAAAGCCCTAGCCCCGGGGGTGCGCGTTCGCAGGGCAAGGGCCTTAAAGTAAACACAGTTCTCCGAGAGGGCTCCGTGTACCGGGTTTCCCCTTAACTGCAGAACGCCCCCTCTACTCGGAGCTAGTGGACACGGACACTACGACACCACCCGTCACGTACACACACGACTGTCTAACGTGGGTTGTCCGTTTTTTTCTTTCTTTTTCTGGCTCGGACTGGCGCTACAAATGGCACAGCAGGCGACGGCCCCTTACGGGTTGGGCTAGACATGCGCTGATTGGCTTCTCTAAAAAAAGAATTTTACAAGCCAAGCTCCCAACCGGCGGCATCGGTCCGATCGCCGATCGATGATCCGCGGAGAAAAAGAGTTTTACAACAAAACTCCCTCGCAGAACACTGGGCACGGGACTGGCGCGCACTGGCACTAACACAGGTACACCACGGGAGCCGCCTAAGCGACTCCTGCGAGGGTGGCGAGGCACTTAGCTCCGTGCACCCGCCCACCCCCGCCACAGGCAAGCTCATTCACAACCTGCTCTGCGATTGCCGTGTGAAGAACGACTGAGATACGCTGCTTCTGCAGCCCCAGCCAATTCTTGGTGGTCCAAGTCACCTCATCGAGGTACTGGGCCCGCGTCAGCTTGTTCTGTAGCACGTTCGCCGCCTTCCGGAGGATCTCACGGACCCCCCTCCCGAACCCGCCGAACGACTCGAACAGCAGCAGCTGCACGTCGACGTCCTTGTCCTCCCTGGCGTAGCGATAGTCCCCGCCGTAGGACGGTATGCGGCGGTCGCCGCCCACCACCCTGCCCCCCCTGGTATGCCAGCGCCCGGTCCCTTGCCCTCTCTCGCCCTTGCTCTTCCTCTCCCCCTCCATGCCGCCCCCCCCGTACCCCTCCCCCCCCCTCCCCCCCTCCCCCTCCTCGCGGTAGGGCCCATGCCCAATGACGATGTTCCGGTAGAATGATTCAGTGTTGCCGAAAGCGACAAAAGCGCCCTTCCGACCGTGCTCCCCGCTGCTGCTGAGAGGACAGACGACCTTGACGTCTCCGCAACAGTGCCTGCCGTCCTTGCCAATGTTGTCCGCATCCACGTCGGGTTGTTTGTTGTAACTCTGACCGAGGTGGGCTTTTGGCTCCATTCGCACAGCGGTGCCCCATAAAAAAAGAAACCCGTTGACCAAGTGCAACTCTGTTCTCTCCAAGTCGAGCGCGTCTGTTCCTGTCGTCCATCAACATGGTGGCCGTCTTCGCAAACCAAGAATTTTACAACAAAACTCCAAAATGCGCCTGCGGGCGGACCCTCACAGATCACAGATCACAAAACTCCCTCGCAAACCAAGTTGAAGAATGTGGCGTGGATATGAAGATGTTTGCTCTGGCTATCAGATCCAAGTCGCGCGCGAGCTCCGCCTCGATGCCGCCGTCGGTCCACGGTGGGGAGAGCGACGTCTGGAGGGGAGCAAGCCGGGGCGCGGAGGCCAGCCCTGAAGACTGAGGTCCTCACACACAGTGGAGGAGTCCTCACCAGGTCCTCACGCCTAGCCTCATGCAGGAGAGGTCCTCGCAAGCAGGAGAGGTCCTCAAGCAGGAGAGGTCTCCTCACTTGGAGTTATGGGACTGGCGCGCACTGGTACGCACCTCGGCGCTCCCTCGGGAAAAAAATCCCATAGACTAACAACTTGTGCCTGTGTTATGATATCTTGGGAGGAGGTGCGTCGATGGTCGAAGTGATTCGTTTTCTTGGGAGCGGTTGTTTTGTTTAGGACTACCCGCTGCCGCCGCTGCAAGGCGCCTCGCCGGCCATTCGGATGTCCCTCGACTTTGCTTGGCCCCTCCCGCCTCCCGCATGGCCAGCTTCGCCCCCTGAATGACACCTCCCGCCGCCCGCTTGAGAGTCCCACCGGCTCAACGGTCTAACTAACCCTTCCGTTCCGCGGAGTAGGGGAGGAGGAGGTGCAGCCCATGCAGCTCACCGACTCGCTCGGAAGCGAGCTGTGCGGCACGTTTGGTTACATCCTGCCAAATAACCACAAGGGGCTCCACCAGGTGACGCTGCCGAGAGACCCCAGATTGGCACCCATGCCTCTCTGGACAGGGTGGCCCGCCACAACGGATCTTCGTCATCACACGCATGCCCCTCGAGAACGGACCAACACCCTCCGAAGGCGGAACCCTTTGCGGCACGCAGGACGTCGAGGACGGAACGGGTATCGCAATGGTTCTCAGTGCATTCGCGTGCGGCGCAGGTCAAACGCTCTTCAAACTGTACGCTAGGCGATCGCAGACGCGGAGAGAGGAGCACACGAGCGACAGGACCTTCTTAGCAGGGCACATGAAGCTGCGATTGCGCGGCGGAGGTGAACAGCCCCAGTTTCAGACTCCGCTGGAGGTTGGCGCGACCATTGTTGCTATCGGGGCTATTGTCAAGGCAATCAAAGACGCCGTGATTGCTTTCTTCAGCCTGCCCGTCCCCTTTATCGCGATGAGAGTCTACTTCTTCCTGCACGGGGTCGTGCTTGACGTATATCTTCTAAACATCCTGCCTCTGTTTGACGAGGAGACGTCAGACAGTAAACGCGCGGATATGACACCCTGGGCCTTTGGAGGCTATCACCCAACGATGCCGCCAATTCCAAACCTCGCGCCTGCACATCGAAGGTTCATGGCGGAAAATCTGATGTATGCGCTCGCGCGGGCAGCTCCATTCTTCTTCTACACGAGCGTGCCTGCAATGGCCGTCTGCGTTGGTTCGCACACCGTCGAGGCCATCACGATAGCGTGGGAAGTACGTAGGTTTGAGGGCCCGCCCACCTGCCTGGTCGCGCAAACCTTGATGGCCGTCTTCTCGACGGGTGTCTTCCTCACAACCTACCACAACCCTGGGCGCGTCATACCTGGACCTGGGACGCCTGGGCCCTTCTTCTTTATGGCGAGCTGCGTCGGACTCAACTGGCTGCTCTGGCTCTCGACGTTGGGAATCTTGGCCTCGCGCTGGCAAGCAGGCGAGCAGCCTGCATCGCCGCCGTCGACGAAGAAGAAGTAGCGAAGCCGCGCGCTTCCCCGATGCTACTTTACCACTCCACGGCTCTTCCCTGCTCCGTGATCTAGATCGCGCTGCCGTCAGTATTTTTTGCGGTGTGGTTGTGGGGCTTGAGTTTCAAGCTTTTTTCCATGCGTGCACTGATTTGTTCTATCTCCCCTAACGCGCTACGGCTACGCGCTACGGCCTACGCCTACGCGCTACGGCGTATTCCGCCTAGAGGCTACGGAGAGTAACGCGGGGCGGTGTGCTCGTGTGGATTCGACTCTCGTGTCAGAGACTGTGTGCCCCCCCGATCGTGCCCACCTCTACTGAGTATGAGGACGACGGCACCTTTTGAGGGTCCGCCGCCTCCTGCCTGTGCCTCTTTTGGTCCTGTGAGAGATTTGTTGGTTCGCTCCAATCTGCTCCAATGAAGGCGTCACTAACGAACGAATCTACGAATCTAAGAACCGCCGGAGCCTGAAAAGAATTCCCCCCCAAAAGAAAAAAAATGTGTGACTCAGCTCTCTCGCTCCGCGGTGCTGAGTTGTGCGCCCCGCTCCAGTGCACGCTCTCACACCGGCCATGACACGAAACGCACTCGCGATGACGATCGCTGCACTCGCAACCGTTTCCGCGGCGTTCGAGTGTGACGGCCGAGCGCTCCCGGGTGCCTACCTCAATGACGACTATTGCGACTGTGCTGATGGCAGCGACGAGGCAGCGACAGGGGCTTGCGCCGACACAATTTATGTGTGCCGGAACCTGCCGCACAAGCCCAAGCAGATTTTTTCCTCCCGGGTGAACGACGGGGTGTGCGACTGCTGCGACGGCTCCGACGAGGCCAACTCCACCGACTGCCCCAACGGCTGCATCGCCCTCGCGACGGAAGCGTTTGGCGCCCTCTCGCGCGGATGCCTTCGGCGCGCTGAGCTAGCCATCGCTGCAGCCAAGGCGGCGAGCAGCGACGCAGAGCGGCTGTCGGCGGCGCGCGCGCAGCTCGCGACGGCAACGCCAACGATCGACGCTCTGCACGACGCCAAGGCGGCGGCGGAAGCGGACGAGGCTTCAAAGCGCGACGGGAGGGCTGCCAGGCTTGCAGCGGGGGAGGTGGATACGTCTCTGGGCGTGGAGCGGCTCGACGCGGGGATGACGCTGCGCGCGCTCGTGCGAGTCGCGCTGTGGGGGGGCGTCGAGGGTGTGTGCACCCTAGATGCAGGGGAAAGTATTCCCTGCATTCCGACCAGCGCTCGAGAGGACACGTGCTCAACAGTACTCGGCTGCGTTCAGCTGCAGTCACTGTGCCCATGGACCTCTCATTCACGCGCTGCTCCAGAACACGGGGCATCCCGAGGCCCCGCGTTCACGCCCGATGCCGCGCTGGGGCATCCCCGACGCTGGTGTATCCTGAGGCAGTATTCTGAGGCAGGCTCGAGCGCTGCGCTGCGATCCTGCGCCACCTTTGGTGTGTGCTCACGCCCCGACACGGGCGGCGTCACGACGGTAGGCGTGGACCGGATGTACGATTTGCTCGTGGAGCGGCCTGGGCTCGAGGAGGCGGCGGAGGAGGTGGACTCTGCGGACTTGCTTGAGGCGGCGTCTAGATGCATATCTCACCCGAGATCAGGTCGAGATCCGGTCGAGACCAGGTCGAGATCCGGTCGAGATCAGGTCGAGATCGCCCTGGTCGAAGCGTATGGCCGCGCCACTATACCACAACCTACACAGTACCCGAACCCATACTCGGGTGGCCGCTGCGCACCCACACACGCGGAGCAGAGTTAGCGGAGAGGCCGACCCCGCGCCCTGACGGGGCGGCAGCTGCGCGGGCAGGTCGCGATGAAAGCGCGCGACGAGGCGGCGGCGGAGAAGGGGCAGTCGGCGGGCGGCGGCGGCGGCGGCGGAGTCTGCGACGCCGCAGGGGCATGTGGTCATGCCCGTGAACATGAGGCCGCGCTTCTGCAGCTGCTCGAGCCGTTGCCGGTCGGCGCCGGGGGGTGGCGGCGGCGGCGGCCCGTTTTCCGTTCTCTGAGGGGCGCACGCCTTTGTTTAGGAGGACGGCGGCGCCTTGAGAGCCGTACTACGAGCACTCCACGCGGGGCTTGCGCCGGCGCGACGTCTTTCTTTTTGTGGGCATTTCTTTTCTTTTTTCTGTAGGTGCTCCACGCGGAGCTTGGCGCCGGCGCGACGTCGGCGCTCGCGCAGGCGGCGCGAGAGCTGCTGGCAGAGACTGAGAGTCCGCTCGACGACGCGGCGGTGCGTCGCTTGCCTCCGAGATCACTCGAGATGACTACCCGAGATCACTCGAGATCTACCCGAGAGGACCCGAGAGGACCCGAGAGGACCCGAGAGATGACCCGAGACTAGGTCGCCGCGGCGCTCGAGCTGCTCGAGCCGTTTCGGCACGACGAGGCGGAGGCGGCGCGGGCAGCGCACAAGGCCGCATCACAGCTGTAGCCACCAATCTGTAGCCACCGCAGCCGTAGCCACCACATAGCTGTAGCCACCGCAGCCGTAGCCACCGCAGCCGTAGCCACCAATCTGTAGCCACCGCAGCCGTAGCCACCGCTTGCTGGTGGCACCGCCCTCACCTCCTCTCCTCACGCTCCTCGCTGCGCTTCCCTCCTCGCTGCGCGCCCCCCCTCCCCACACCTGCTCCTCCTCACGTTTCCCCCGCCCCCTCCTAGGCTGCCGTGGAGGCCGTGCAAGAGGCGAGCGAGGCGGAGCGGCAGCTGGCGCCCAAGGAGGCGATTGCAGCATCTGGCGGGTGCGGCGGCAGCCTCGAGCTACGTGCGGCGCTCGAGATTGCCCGAGATCAGCCGAGGCTGCCCGAGGCTAGGTACGGTGCCGGGCTTGAGTGGCGGCAGCTGCACGGGCGATGCTTCGAGGCAGAGGACCGGGGGTATACCTACAAGGCGAGATTGCGCGAGACTGCGCGAGATTGCACGGGGTTCACCTACAAGGCGAGATTGCGCGAGATTGCGCGAGATTGCGCGAGACTGCACGGGGTTCACCTACAAGGCGAGATTGCGCGAGACTGCGCGAGATTGCACGGGGTTCACCTACAAGGCGAGATTGCGCGAGACTGCGCGAGATTGCACGGGGTTCACCTACAAGGCGAGATTGCGCGAGATTGCGCGAGATTGCGCGAGACTGCACGGGGTTCACCTACAAGGCGAGATTGCGCGAGACTGCGCGAGATTGCACGGGGTTCACCTACAAGGCGAGATTGCGCGAGATTGCGCGAGATTGCGCGAGACTGCACGGGGTTCACCTACAAGGCGAGATTGCGCCAGATTGCGCGAGATTGCGCGGGGTTCACCTACAAGGCGAGATTGCGCGAGATTGCGCGAGATTGCACGGGGTTCACCTACAAGGCGAGATTGCGCGAGATTGCGCGAGATTGCACGGGGTTGACCTACAAGGCGAGATTGCGCGAGACTGCACGGGGTTCACCAACAAGGCGAGATTGCGCGAGATTGCGCGAGATTGCACGGGGTTCACATACAAGGCGAGATTGCACGAGATTGCGCGAGACTGCACGGGGTTGACCTACAAGGCGAGATTGCGCGAGATTGCGCGAGATTGCACCAGATTGCACCAGATTGCACCAGATTGCCTCCACCTCCAAGGCGCGCGCTTCCCCCGGACGTCCTCTCCCCCTCGCACCCCCAGCACACTCTCTGCATGGCGCGCACGCGTCCGCTCTGCTCGGAGCCCACACGTTCGCCGGAGTCGCCCGAGATTGCACGAGATTGCACGAGCCGCTCGCGTAGCATAGCGTGGCGCAGCGACGGCAAGTGCGCCGCGGCGGTCCTGCAGGCGTGCCCCTTCCAAGAGATGCGGCAGGGCAGCCCGGGTGGCCGCGCGTCGCGGCAGCAGACACTTCTCGGCAACTTCACGCGCTGGGAGCCAGTCTCTGGCGAGCGGGCGTCGCAGCTGGCGCGGGCGGGCCGCACGCCAAGCGAGCTCGGCACGATGCGGTTCGAGGGCGGCGCGGCGTGTGGCGGCGGAGCCCTGCGGCGCGCAACTCTGTACTTCGAGTGTGGCGAGCAGGACGCGCTGCTGGAGGTGACCGACGTGCACTTGTGCACTTGTGGCCTTGCACTTTGAATGCCGTGCTAGCTCCTGTCGCCTAGACGTGGAGTCGCGAGGGACTAGCCTGGCCCTTGCCCCACCACGTTTGTATGTGTGGAGGAGTCTACCTTGCCTGGCCTAGGTCACCGAGCCCGAGACGTGCGTGTACGAGGCGTGGATGTCGACGCCGCTGGCTTGCTCGCTGGCCCTGCTGCGCGAGAAGGCTTGCCGCGCTCGCGGGAGCCGCCGTCCATAGCTGCCGAGCATAGCCTTCAGCATTCGGGGTGCGACGTACTGTAGGTTGCCACGCTCGAGGAGGCGTCCGCTGCGGCCAGCCTTGAGTTCCGGCCGAGCGATGAGCTGCGCGCGCTGCTCGCCGCGCCGGAGTAGGCTTGGGACGAGGGAGCGAGAGGGACGTTTCCGCTCGTCAGCAGTGTGTGCGGCGCTGTTAGTGTGTGTGATCTCCTGGATGAGGGAGTCAAAAGGGGCACGGCGTACGGCTTTAGACATTAGAGCCAAAAGCGAAGGAAGCCTCTCTAGCGGCACAACCACAAGCGGCTCGTTGTGCGAGTATATGGGACACGATGTCTCAATATGAGAGGTTTTGACTCCTACCGGCTCCTGACGCTATCCCTGGCAGCTCTAATGACCAGGATCAGTAGTGTTGTGATAGAGGGTGCCCATACTAGCGCAGGAGCTGCCACACTCGCCCGGACCGTCCCCTTCTGGGGCCGGTTCCGCAGCCCGCGAGAGCCAACTCAGCGGGGCCGTGCCGCGGGTGCCTACTGCCGAGTGCCACAAACACTGCGCCGTCCCGCCATCACCTACAGGCTGTCTTGTGTGATGGTTGGGATGTCCAAACGCCACCATCTTGGCTCTTGCGACCTCAAACCCGCGAGCTGTATGGTGGTCCTGACGTCGACAGACGCCCGATGACCACGGTGAAGCTGAGCCGTAACGAGTCGACAAGTCTCGTCTGAGCCCGTGGCGGTCGCCGGCTGAGTCGCTTTGCACGGGCCGGTACCTCAGGCGTCACCTCCGCAGCCTCAGGTCTCACACTCCATCACCGCCGCCCGGACGCCGTCGGTGGCACGCTCGGCGGCGACTTTGTTGCAGCCCCACAGCGAGCGCGGCGTCGAGCCCATTCGGTCTGGTCGGTTCGCGGCACTCCCTGGGTGCCAGGGAGTGCCGCCGACACGCGAGCGGTGCTTCCTGGCAGCGCGCGCCAGCTGTGGGGCTGCAACAAACTCGAGACACGCTTTTTGGGACATTTTCGACGCTTTTGTCCCATATACTCGCACAACATGCCAAGCGGGCGCGCGCGCACACACCGCAAAAGATCTCAAAGCGGACGAGGGACGATGATCAAAGAGAGCACACACCTCAGAGCTCAGTCCTTACATGCATAGTACGTAGCTCACTCACACTTCCGAGGAGTTCGCTCCTCCCCGTGACCCCCCTAGAGCTCTAATGCTAAAGCCGTATCGCGATCGAAAGCTAACGCAAGCAAGCTCGAGCAAGCAACCTCTACTATCGACTGGCCGCGACTCTACATCTGGTAATGAACGATCGCCGTTGCCCACACACACGCGCTTTTGCCCTCCACAGCATTATGTCGGAGAGTCGCGCGCCTCACGCGCTGGCGGCTCCGAGAACGACAAAGAGCGGGAAAGGACAGTCGGCCAAGCCGCCGCGGCCGTCGGCCAACGGCGCTCAGCAGATCTTGCAGTGGCAAGTGTCGTGCATCTTGTTGGTGCCGTTAAAGTGCATCTCGCCGAGGTGGGGGTGGCGAAAGATGCGGGGTCCGACGCGGCCCCAGATCGGGTAGACGTCGTTGCACGCGGGGAGCACGCCGAGGCAGCACATGCACTCGCCCGTCTTGATCTGTCGCCCGGGAAGCGCGGTGGGGGTGAGGGCGGGAGGGGCGCGGGAGGGGGCGGGGGAGGCGGGGGGCGGGGGCGGGGGCGGGGGCGGGGGCGGGGGCGGGGGATAAGGCGGGGACGAAATCCGTGAGCGGGGGCGGGGGGCGGACCTCTTCCCGGCGAGAGGGCCTCGGAACTGCTCACAGCCCGGGAAGCAGCCGGCACACATCGGTGAGGAACCTGCGGCAAGAGATCTTTGGGAAAGAGGGTCGGTCGGCTCCTCTTTCTTTGTTGGGGGCCCTGTGGGCATCCTACTGTAGTAGCGATCTGCCTGCGTGCGTGTATGAACTCACTAACTAGAGCTCGCACTAGAGGCCGTCCTCGCATTCGCCTTCCTGGTACCCAGTGCTGCCTTCTGACTGTCGTCGCTGTCTCTCCCTTGTCGACTGTCTGTGTATTGTGTGCGTCTTGGGCTCGGGGTTGTCCTTTTGCGTGAAGCGGGGGGAGAGAGCGGCCCGAGAGGCGCGCGAGGGCGTCGCACCAGCATCCGGCGACTTGGAAGGCGTCGATGTACTCAGGGTCGCTGCGGTCGATGCACATCTCCGGCGGGCCATCGTGGTACACGTGGTGCACCTCGGTCTGCGGCGCCGGCGGGTACTGCGGCTGCGGCGGGTACTGCATCTGCGCCGGCGCGTACTGCTGCGCGGGCGCGTACTGCTGGGGCGCGCCCGCAAAGCCCTGCGCCACCGCGGGCTGCGCGACGACCGGCTGCGCCACCGCGGGCGGAGGCGCGGCCGGCACCTCAAAGGTGAACGACTGGCCCTCCACCAGGCCTGACGGAACCATCACATTCATGAGACCGCCCGGCGTCGCGACCTGCATCATTTGCCCGCCGGCGACACCGGACGGCACCGCCACAGTCAACAGCTGAGGTGCAGGCGCCGCCATCGCCACCGGCGGCGAGCTGCTCGAGCCGCCGCCGCCGCCGCCTCCGCCCGGCGGCGAGACATTAAACGTGTCGCCCGGCCCGAGTCCTTTCGGCACGACCGCATCAAACTGCACCTGAGTTGCCGGATCTATTACCGGGAAGCTGTCCCCGGCAGATGCGCCGGCGGGCACGGAGACTTGCAGCATACACGAAGAGCGACGGCAGGACACAGGACACCCTGGTTGCGGCGATCGCTCCAGCCGTCGTACTCGACAACCCGGGGACCCAGACACCTTGGTCGGGGTCCTCTTGGGTGGGGGTAGGGTGTATGAGCACAATTGTATCTCCAGTCCGAGCCAGACTGTTCTTCACACAAAAACACAACCCCGGACCCAAGACGCACAAGCTCAGACAGACAGTCGAGAAAGGGATACACAGCAACGACAGTCAGAAGACTGTTCTTCACCTTTCTACCTAACCTAACCTGTGTGTCTGTGTGTCGCCCAGCGTGCCGTCATCTCCTCTCTCGCGTCCACCCGTACCGCGTGGGCAAGGAAACGCAATATGGGGCCCGGCAGGAGCGTGCGCTCTGCCTGTGGGGGGTGCCTGTGGCGTCGCCAAGCTGCAAGCAAGGCCCGCGAGCGACGTCGATCGAGTCGATGCTGCCTCTACTCGCTTAGTGTGGGTAAACCATAAAAGTAGGTTTGAATTCGTCCACGTAAGGCTTGGTGAGTGGTTGGGGTGGCCTCAGGCATCCCCAAGGGAGCCTCTGCGGTGCCACATAAGCAGCTTAGTGATTGTCGAGACTTTAAAGTATTCGTTTGAAGATCTCGCAAACAAGACAGACGGTACTATGGTCACCAGTAAACCATAATTCGACTTTGAGGGATCATATCTCAAAAATCCGGGAGAGAGCATAGCCTTATTGTTGCATATTATGCCACATAAGGTCAAACTCGACCCCACAAGCATCAAGAACCCGATGCTCCGGCTCGACTGTGCCGGCACACTGCCTCCTCGCGCCAGCTGCTCGCAGGCCGTCGCGGCCCGTGGTGCACCAGAGAGAGAGGTCGACACGTTGCCCCCGCCGGCGAGTCCGCGCGGCTCGGGCCGGCCAGAAGGTGTGTGGTGGCGGCACCGTGGCAGGATTGCGGAGAAGAGCTCGCCGAACGCGAGCAGCAGATGGCCAAAGTGTGCCAGCGCGAGAGCCTCGCGAGCGGGCGCAGAAGGAGCTCGCCGTGACACGATGCCGGGCGGTGGTGGTGCTCTGGCGGCTGTGCACAGTGGGCAAGGTCAGGCTGCAGCAGGGCAGCACGATGGTAGTGCCCTGCTGCAGCCTGGCCTGACATGCACAGGGCGAACAGAGGCGGTACTATCGTCCGGCGCTCGTCACCGAATCTGGGCGAACTTCGACCGCCGCCACAGCTCACCACGAGCACGCAGCGACAAAATGTTGACTGTACGGAAGTTGAGGCTGGTCGAGAGGAAAAGGCTGCCGTGCGAGCAAGCAGCAGGCCGGCTCGGCGTGGACTGCCGCGGCGACTTTTATGGGCTTCTCTGTTCATAGTACCGTATACGGTACTATGGTTTACCCACACTAAGCGAGTACCTACGCCGCCGCGATGGCCGGCGGGGCGAACTGCTCATGCATGGGAGTGGATGTGGTATCAATGTGGAGTCCGGCGGCGGCGTCAACCGTCATGCGTCTTGGCCTTTACACGCTTTTCTCTGCAAAGGCTATCTATATTCTTTGCATCATATTCTCTCTGGGCCCTCTATATTCTCGAGAATATTCTCGAATATTGAGAATATTTTGACCTCGCGTAGATCGACGGAGACCAAAAGTCGCTCCAAACCCGCTCAGAACCTCCAAAACTTAAAGATTTCAGTCGGCATCGACCCGAAACCTACTGTTGAGGGGGGAATAGCTGTTTCGAGCTCTCTCGTCAAGACCGTATTAGACGCCGCACAGCGGCAACGTCAAGAATATTCAAGAATATCTTTGGACTCGAGGTCTACTAAGGTCAAGGGCTGCGGAAAGCTCGTATATTCTTGAGGGAAAAGCCGGCCGGGGCATCTGTATTCTCGAGAATATTCTCGAATATGGAAGTGCGCGGGACCCTCTATATTCTCAAAGATATTCGAGAATATGGTGTAAAGGCCAACATGCGTCATCGGACATCGCCGAGACGCACAGACAGGAACTTAGCATCCGAGTACTGCGGACGGACTGCCTCCAGCTAGCTTGTTGGACTCGGCCACGGCGGAAGACGGCGTGCATCTCGGTCATGTGGGTCAATCAACCCTGCACAAAGATCGCGGAGCTATCGGGACTGGTATCGCTTCGGGAGGCTGATACGTTGACGTGCGTCCGATGATGCTCGTGCGTCCGTGGGTCCTCTTTTCATTGTTAGAGCCCGCCGCTAATAACTCTCTCGGCGGGGGAGGGGGGGGACGACGACGTTGAGGCTCGTGTGTGGACAAATGCACGGATCACAACCGCCGCTTTTGTTGCTCGAATGCCAAGCGGTTTCTCGAATGCCTGGCGTGCAGCGCCTGACCAGGTACGTAGATAGCAGTGGCTGTGCCAACGCAAGTGCCATGCTCGCATTCTGGCTGCACAAAGCAGTGCTCGGCGCACCACCACGGCGAAGTCCGACGAAGCACACCCTAGTTCCTCCCTGGCTGGTTGACTCCCGTGCCACCGCCAGCGTGGCAAGCTGTGGTGCTGGCATCGGCGACGACGACGTTGCGTCTCTCCTGCGCCCGATTTCGCTCCACGCCCATCGCTACAACAGCTCACGCTGCCTCAGCGACCCGCGCGGTACGGTCGTGCCTCCGCGATCGTGCGCGTGCGGGCTAAAAGGCACGGTGCTGCTGCGGGGCATGGCGCCCGTAGAGTGCTCGCCGCCGTCCGAGTGCCCGTCGCAGCTGCCTCTGCCCTACTTCTCGGTGCTCCCCGACGGCAGCGGAGAGCTGATAGCGATCGGCACGCCTTCGCGGCTACCACTTGCCCACATGGCATTTGAGCTGCTTCCCGCCTCGCACGACTCGCCTTGGGTGCGGCTGCGGCACGTAGCGAGCGGCTCGCTTGTGATGATGCAGCCGCCGGCTGCGGAGGGCGCTTGGACCCTACAGCTACACAATGCGTCAACGCGCTCCGACTGGAGCTCGCAATTCTGCTTCACCCACGTGCGGAGGGGGGGCGGCACGCATCTGTACTCGGCGGCGGCAGGAGGCTACGTCACGCGCCACGGCCGTGTCCTTCTGCGAGGGCACGGCCGCATTTGCCCCCGGCATGCAACCAGACGGCGCGGAGGAAGAACGCACGGCCGTGCCCTCGATGAAGAATACCAGCCCACCAACGCGATGCGAACGTGCCAGCAGCGACAGGGCCCTGGAGAGCGCACTGCGCTCAGTCACCTCGCGCTGCTGCGTGCGCCCCCCGCGGCGTGGAGGATGAACGCGCGGCTCTGCAACTGCCGGCGGCTTCTATCTGCCGCCGCGCGGCACACCGCTACCAACTCGAAGAATGAGGGCGGCGGCGGCGAGGGCGGTGGCGACGGTGGCGGTGACGAGGGCGGCGACGTTGGCGGCGGCGACGTGGGCGGAACACATGTACATGCGGTGCCTGCACGTCCGGCGCCGACCAAGCCTGCAACGGCGCGGCGGATATCGGTGGTCACATTTGCCTCGGACGCCAACAGCGTCTTCTGTGACACGGTGTTCACGGCGGCGTTGCAAGGGCTCGACGTAACCGTCCTCGGCATCGGCGAACCGTACCAGGGCAACTACCAAAAGCTCACTGCCGCACGCGCCCACCTCACCACGCTCGATCCCGACCGCCTTGTTCTTTTCGTCGACGCCTACGACGTGCTGTTCGCCGCAAACGAAGTGGACATCCTCGAGCGCTACGCATCGCTGCACGTGCCGCCCGGTCGCGTCGTCTTTGGAGCAGAGTCAGGCTGCTTCCCCGACTGGATGGCGCCGTTTGGCCGCTCCTTCTGCGAGGGTCGTTTTCCCAAGGCAGGTGGCGAGTACCGGTCGCTCCTACTCTGCGAGGCCAAAAGTCAGCACTGCTGGTGACTTTGTGTAACTCATCGTTATTATTCGTAGGTACATCAACTCGGGCTGCTGGATGGGGAGCGCGGCCGCTGCCTTTGCTCTGCTGACCGACCTGGCCGCCTACACTCCCGGGCGTGGCGTCGATGACCAGCAGGTGGTGTCGCACTACTATGTCCGCGCCGCCAGCAGTCAATTTGTGCTCGACCGCAACGCCACTCTGATCCAGTCCATGCATTTGGTCAGTGAAAAGGATGTCACCGTCGACGCGCAGGCCCCGCGCAATGGGAGTTCGTCCGTCACCAACAAACGCACTCGCTCCCACCCTGTTTTACTCCACTTCAACGGAGGGTCCAAGCCTCTCCATGTGAGATACCGACAGAGCATCCTCCAGGCAGCTGGAAGCGGTTGCTCGAACATTGCCGCACAGGCGTGGGTGACGAGCGGTGACGGCCGCCGGCTCGCACTGAAAGATCTGTGCCCGGCATTCGTCTGCCCAGCCAAAGGCTAGCGCCACCTCCGCTCGGCGTCGACGGCTGCGGCATGCAACGTACTCCGTAGGCTAGCGGTCAGCTGAGGACTGCCAGAGGACTGTGTACGATCGTCTGTGTTACCAATTACCATGCATGGACTGGCCACTGGGTGCTCGGTGGCCGGATGGCGCCCCCCGAATCGCGAATGCCAATGACTTGTTTTTCATTTCAAACTAGAGGAACCACCCAGAGGGCGTAGAGGAGATGTAGATTTCATTTGAGCTGTGTAAGCAAATCGCGCTCTACAAGCGGATCGCCGGTCCACCTCCCACACACCAAGTCTAGAGCCGTACATGGCAGACAACACATCAGCCCCCCCTCTGGCTGCGCACCACCTCGTAGATGTAGCCGACGCTGCCGCCCGTCTCGCGGTTCGGGCCCTCCACCTCGTCGATCAGCGCAAACTCCCCGCAACTGCCATCGCACTCGAGCCACTTGTCCGTCACGACCACCCTGCAGCCGGGCAGGCAGCAGCAGCCGACCAGCTCGGAGAAGTCGGTCAAGGCCCCCCCCTCGCTCGCCCAAGCGGAGCTGTAGCAAAACACGACCGTCGCGTCGTCGAGCGGGCCGCCCTCCCTCATCGCCTGAAGCGCATCGCCGTGCACAAAGTCGCACCGCGGCAGGCTCGCCCGCGCCTGCGCGCGGACCGCCATCATGTGCAGATCGGCGCACGTCTCCACGCCCGCCGCCCGCGCAAGCTCTGGCCACACGCAGGACGCCGCGAGCACAAGGCGGCCGCACCCAGAGCCGACGTCGACGAAAGTCTCGGGCTCGCGGCGGCCGGCCGGTCGCGCGAGGGCGCGGTCGACGAGGGCGCCGAAAAAGGCGAGGTCGAACTGCGGGTGGTGGGGCGCATGGAATCAACCTCTCTGTGTGTATGTGTGGGTCTCGGTCCCACCTTCGCACGCGGCCGCTCACCTCGCCGTACGTCAAATGCCCGTTGTCCGGCTCAGCACTGAGCGTGGAGCGCCACACCATGCTCTCTCCCAGCTGTGCGCGCCGGCCTACCATCATCCGGTCCGAGTACGAGTCGACGTACGCGGACGAGAGCAAATTGCTTGCGCTCTGGAGCCGCTGCGACAGCGTCAGCATGCTTTGTCGGCGAATCGGCGGGAGGACGTGGGACCGGCTCCACCCAACGGGGATCACGCTTAGCCGGCTGGGTTCCGGCTCCTAGCCAGATAGGGGGTCTGCTCCACCTTCCTAACTAACTAATATGCAATAGGTAGGTAGGTCCGGTTTTGACCGCCCCAGAGGGCCCCGCAATAGTATACCCCCTCTTTTCGTCTTTTTTCGCGTCGCTACGCGGCCTGGGGATAGGTAGGTAGGTAGGGCGTTTTGGCGCGACTCAGTGGGGACAGACCCCCTATCAGCCGGAACCCAGTGGCCGTTCGCCGGGGCTTACATTTCTTCTTTTGGTTTCGGTTGTTCATCCCCGAGGGCGCCAACGCAGCTCAACACGCCGACCCGCCTCCCTTCGACGCTGGGCGGCGAACGTGCCGTGAGCGGTGTGCATGCCCGCGCGCCCCGCTCGCCGTCGCGCCCGCTCGCCAGCACGGGGTCGTGCGAGGCCCGAGCCTGCACGCCAGCAGTCCGAGCGCTCTCCCGAGGAGGTTGACTCCCTCCTGGCTGCGCGCCCGTGGCTCCGCCGCCGTGCACTGGCCTCCGTTGCCGGGGCTGGGCTCTGCGGTGGTTTGGGAGTGGCGGCAGTGGTGTGGGAGTCTCGCGCCCTCGGCGCCGCCTGCGCAGGCTCCTTCGCCACCGCCGCGCTCGCCGCTCTCTCCTCCGCGGAAGATGGAAGCGATGCGGTGGCAGGGGCTCGGCCTGCCGCTGGCGCGCCGGCGCCGGATGCCGACCCGGTCGACACGAGCCTGGTTTGCTGCCTCTGCTTCGAGCTGCTCTACGAGCCCGTGACCCTCGCTTGCCAGCACAGCACCTGCAAGGAGTGCCTGCGCAACCTGCTCCGGGCTGCGGAGGACGACGAGGACCTGCGCTGCCCGACGTGCCGGTCGGAGATCGACGAGGCCTTTGCGAGCAGCGTCATGTCCGCGGGCTGCCGGCACAACACCACGCTGCAGAGCCAGTGCGAGAGCCGCCACCCGGTCGAGTTTGCTCTCCGCCGCCGCCACGCGCCGCCGCCGCCGCCGCCGCCGCGCCACAGTCTGTGGCTGCACGCGCCAGGGCTCGCCGCCGTCGCGGAGAGGCCGTCTTGGCTGGCGGCGGTCTCCGCCTCGCTGTGCGTGCTGCTGCAGCTGCAGGCCCTCGCCCTGCCACACTTGCTCGGCGACGAGGCGCTAAGGGCGGCGGGCTCTCTGCACGGCGAGGCGGGGTGGAGGACCAGTGCTGCCATCTTCCTGCACACGAGCTGGGCGAGCCTTCTGATGGGGATGGACCTTGCCGCCCTGCTGCTGACCGTCCACCTCGGCCTCTACCCGGCGGCGATGCGGATCGAGATGCAGGCCTGGTCCCACACCTCCAGAGTACCGAATCCGGCGTGGGTTCAGTCCCGTGGGTGGTGTGGTAGGCCGGCGTGCCGTGGCTGCGCGGCTCGGCCACCTGCTGCGGCGTCGCCGCCGTCGCCGCCGCTCGCGCCTTCGTCTGGGCGGGAGGCCGGCTGGAGGCGTTCCTTCCCGCCGCGGCTCTCGCGGCTGCCGTCGGGCTCCACCACGCCGTCGGCCTCCGCCTCCGCCTCTTTGACCCGGCCATAGGACCGCAAGTGGCGCTCTGCCTCGCCTCGAGCCTGCTCTGCTGCTCGGTCGCTCTCCCAGAGCCACAAGCCGCCCCGTCCTCCCGCCCTTCCCCCGAGTCCTCACCCGAGTCCCCTAGCCCCCCCCGACTCCCCCCCTCCCCGCCGACGCGCG